ACAGACAGCCTACCTACATACCATCCATTTTTAAAGCATGTGGCTTCCCTTAAAGAAACTGGGAACTGTAGCTTGCCCCTCAGAAAGCTACAATTCCCAGCACCATTAACAAACTACCATTTCCATGATTAGTCAGGGAAAGTTATGTGCTTTAAACGTATGGTGTGCTGCCTGCAGCCGTAGATCACATGGTCCTTGTCTCCCCCACAATTGTACTAATATGTGCTGTATTTCTACTTAAAAGGTAAAGGTAAAGGACCCCGACAGTTAAGTCCAGCTGCAAATGACTCTGGGGGTTGTGGCACTCATCTCGCTTTACTGGCTGAGGGAGCTGACGTTTGTCCGCAGACAGTTTTTCCGGGTCATGTGGCCAGCATGACTAAGCCGCTTCTGGCAAAACCAGAGCAGCTCACGGAAACGCCATTTACCTTCCCGCCGGAGCAGTACCTATTTATCTACTTGCACTTTGACATGCTTTCGAACTGCTAGGTTGGCAGGAGCTGGGACTAAACAACGGGAGCTCACCCCGTCGCGGGGATTCGAACCACCGACTTTACGATTGGCAAACCCTAGGCTCAGTGGTTTAGACCACAGCGCCACCTACTTTGATTATAGTAATTATTTCAAAAATTCTGTCAGATATTGAGGCAAAAGTGGACAGAGCAATGGATGTGGCTCTTACCTTTGTCCAGTAGGCTACATTTGAGTCAAAAGTTTTCTTCACACACCAGGCCTGTGCACCAGGGTAAATTCAAATATAAGAAGGTCTCTGTCCCCGCACTAGCCAGCATAGCCTTCCAGGGTCCAGGGCAAGTGTAGCTGACTGCACCCCCCCCCACGGTCCTGGAACACACTGCTCACTATTATTCATCTAGGAAGTAAGATAACTTTTTACAATTCAAGGACACATTCCAACTTGGCAAGAGCACCTGAGTAAGTGTTAAACAGGATTATCCGTAAGGGACATGACCTGAGGTGGGGCATTGCCTAGGACGAGGCACAAGGGCCAGAGAGAGAGATGCCTACAAGGACACACAGGAACACCAGGCTGACAGTCCCCAGCATGAGCATTTTATAGCAATATAGTGGGTGCTGCAGAATTCCATAGAGTGGGAAAGTGGGGAATGGAAAGATTTTGCTGCTCATGCTCAGTAAAAAAAAATTTTCTGAGGCATTTGGATGCCAAGATGGTGGAGGAGGAATCTTCCCCCTCCTCCTTCTGAGGTAGTTATATTGCTGAAATTCAGCAGCAGCTATTTATTTGGGATAATTAGGCCCCTAACAGCTCGGCTCAGCTTGGTAAACAAAGGAAAGGGTGGGTTCAAAGAAGCTTTTATCTTATATGCTTTTTTGGTGTGCTCTGTTCTATCTTTGTTTTACAGGGTTCAACTGGAAACCTAGCAGGTTTGGATTTGAATTTTTCACTTCTCTGTAAAGGGAAGTTTAATGTAAAACTCCCATGATTTGGAGCAGGATTTGAAAGGTGATTGCTATGGTGTGTGTTTTCTACTCTCTAGTTCTCTTTCCTATAGTTGTGGGGTGAAATCCAGTATTAACCATGCTCTGAGTCGACCCACTGATATAAAATCATTGATTTTACTGGGTCTGCCCTGACTATGACTAACCTCAGATATCACCCTTGGATTAGGGAAGTTGTGAGCCAAGTGCTACATTGTTATACATTGGTTTGAAAATATAAAATATCCCATTAAAATGTTGTGTATGTCTGTATAAATTTGTTGAAGAAAGACCCTGAACTTCCCTTAGTTGTATCACGATAGCAGTGCATTATACCCTCTCGACTGTATACACAGATCTGTGGTTAGTGGAAGGGCTTGACTTGTTGCAGGGGTGGTGCCTTTGAGCGCTATGATTCCCTGACTGTACTTGGCAGAATTGTTTATATTTTAAAGGCCCTGTCTTGGTCAAGCGCTTGGAGGGGCATTTTGTGTCCAGTTCCTAAGTGGGAAGCTGCCTCTTGCAAGATCTGGCAGAGGCAAGCCGAGCTGTGTTGAAGGAGAGAAGGCAGCAAGCTCCCGTCCTGGGAGTGGAAAGCGGCTGAACTCTCGCTTTGGCTGGCTTCTCTGCCAGCTCCAGAAGGAGAAGGCAGAAAGCAGGGGGAGTTACCTAGCAACCAACTCTGATGCTTTCCAACTATTTACAGGGGAGACCGAGGGCTGTGACCTACAAAGTAAATTTCCCATCAATGGGATTGCATGTGAAACACGCGGAAGGCAAGCGGGGCGCCAAACTGGCCAGGGGAGATCCTAATTGCTTCTGCATGGTGAGTTTTTAGCTATAATTGAAGTATTCCTGCTTTAAATTGGAATTCTAACTTTTCTGATGGAGTCACTAGGATAGCTGTATGATGTCTTATTTTTTTTTGTTAGACATGAGGCTTAATCTCTGCTGGAGCAGTAGTGGAGAGAGAGAGAGAGAGAGAGGGAGAGAGATTTTGAGGAAGTGATTAAATGCAAAAAAAATAGACCAAGTGGTCAACCTCTTTGCAAAGTATGTTAGTAATTAAAACACCCGTTAAACCCTTCTTCCTCCATTGTGCAACATGTCAGAATAGTAAAAGCTTGTGGCGGTTCTTTCTGGTTCTTCTAATTTACAGAAGACACTGACTGCATTCAGATGAAATGCAAAACCAAGGGTGAGGTTTTGGGCAGCCTATGGCTTGTGAAAATAATAGTCATAAACTTTGGTTTCCAGCTTGGCTGCTTTCCACTAACGAGCTGGGGTGAATTTAAAATGGAAGCCTTCCAAACTCCTAATGGTTCAGGGAAAGGGTGGGCTCATTGTTGTAACACTAAACTATGGTTTCAATACATTTCTGATAAGTATTCAATGGATGTACTGGCCAAATATTTCTGCAAGCAAACCATAGTACCATGACTCAGGGGATTATGAGTACAATGAGGGATGTTAATGTTTTGCGACAAGGTATAGTCCCTGTGGATAAATTGCAAACCCACACTTAAATAATGTTTGCAAAAAACACCAGTGTCAATGCTTTGCTTCTTCAAGCTAGTCATTTGAAGTTCTTGCTATTACTGTTGTTTCTAGATTCATTATACTCTATGTTTATGTTATGCCTTTGTGGCATCAGTAACAGAAGCCCAAAATCACACTGTGAAGGTAACAAAAGCAAACATTAAAGGTGTTACAAGCAGGGAAAATATTATTACTTTCCATTAACTAACCTTTAAAACTTTGACTAATCCAAGAACCCTTTGGGGGTCCAAAGGCATTGCCCCCTTTTCTCTGAATGCAAAGGAAGTCAGTGTGGGAAAGTAACTGGACAAGAACTGTGGTGTCCTGAATTCAAATCCCTTCTCCTCACTCAACCATAAAACTTAATGGGTGAAAATGTGTCAGCCACACACAGTGCCATGCCTTCTATTTACTTTTTGCCTCAGTGGCATCACACTGGAGAGGTGGGTAGATATTTTGTGACAGAAAGGTAGCAATGAATAAACACGAGTTTCAGTCATAAGTGGGCCAAACTCATCCACACAATGAAGACAGTGATTGTGTGATGTGGTTTAGCGGAGAGGAGAGCTGTAAATTCTGTGGCTTTTCGCCATTATGGATGAGTGCATAGTCCTGCTCGCAACTTTTGTAGTCCGGCACTACTTTGAACAAGGAGGAAATAACTCTGCTGGAAGATGAGTAAACAGATAATAGCTTTATAACTAGTTCTGTTAAAACTTTGAACACCAGCTTCGTTTTGCAGCTCTGAGATTCTTGTGCATTTTCTGTGTTATGATTCATCTGGTGGATGCTTTCAGATCAGCCATGTCAGACCACTTTAAATATAGTTGCTATTGTAAATAAGACCAGTCTTTCAACCCCCACCTCACAATTGTTTTAGTTGCTGTTTCAGATCTGCCTCTTTTACCTTCACTTTTCTGACTATACATTTGGCTCTATTCAAGCTGTTAGAAATATTGCTGCTTTTTAACAAGATATATTGATTCTGTTTTGAGTGAATTATATTATTATTATTATTATTATTATTATTATTATTCTTGCAGGAAGATGTTATGCTCATTATTTAACATTTATTGGGAAATACAACAAGGAGTTCAGTAAGTAATCTCTTGGATTACAATGTTGAAATGTTGGTGGACTGAAAAAATGTGAATTTTATTATCATAAATCAATATTAATAAGGAAATGAACTTTTGTGTTCCTGCTTTAAAAGAAAGCCAATGAAACAGTAACCAGCATTTTACTACCACCTAAGGAGTATACACGGTCTTCCTAGTAAACCCCTTGAAATTAAGAAAAATAGTTATTCAGTTTCACCAAGATCCACAAGCAAATCCGAACATGCAGCAGCTAAGCGGCAATTGTTATTCATAGCCAAGGCCTGCAAAGCAGTAAACTGTCAGAAAGAGGGAAGCCCTAAAGGCTTGTGCAAGGCTTTGGGCCAGAAGGAAGTGAGGCCCCCGAGTCCAGCAGCAATCATGGCACAGGGCTGGGGGCTGCATTTCAAAGTGATTACACAATACCAAAAAAATAAAACCCCATACAAGATTACCGTATATGTTTAAATAGCTGCCTATACAAAAACAGTAAAAACAATTACTGTATATTAAAACAATTGTACAAATAAAACAGTTTCAACTAAATTCTGATACCGATGGAGATAAAAGCGAATGTATATCTGACCTTGGTGAAAATGAAGAGAAGCAATTTCTTGTGAGGCTAACATAAAATCTAAACTTCCCCTGAAATGTAACCTCCTTCTTAGGGGGTATCATAACCCTTCCAGGACAATTTCCCAGATCTCTGTCAAATATTTTACACATTTTTTCCTGAAAGTTTTGATGCACCAGTCAACATTGTATCCCAACATGTTCCACAGAATTTTTTTTATTTATTTACTGTAAGCCAACCAAGGCAGTTGTCTGTAGCCTCCAACCACAAGGTAACCCCACGGTTTCTCTGCTCCTGGAAACCACAGTTCTTAGAAATCCGCAAAAGCAGTGATGCTGGTGAAAGTAGCCTTCCACAGGGAGCCTGAACTGCCTTTCCACTTGCTTAAAGGTAAGTAACTACATGTAGTAAGCACTGACTTGTTAATAAGCGGTTGTGTTCGTCCCCCCCCCCCATTTTTTTGCACTCCAGCAGTTCAAGAACAGCCTTTCTGTATACCTGTTTCCAAATACTGGTTCTTGTTTTTATTTATTAAATCAGTGGCTTATGTAGCTGTGCATGTTCACAGCCTCCAAAAGCAAATTATTGTTTTCGCATTAAGTGTTTGCCTTTTTTTAAAAAAAAAAAATTACTGCTAAGTAGATAACATGTTCTCTGATGTTGGTTGATTGATGCTACTATACAAGCCTTTTGGGAAACAGCTGTTGCTAATAAGAAGCATTATAACAAAATAATTGGGTTTCTTTCTTCAAGAAACATTTTGTACAAATGCTAATGATGTTGTTTATTTTCCTTCATAAACATTTTCAGAGACTGTTCTTTTATCTGCTACAGCAAATTATAATAGTGATGGTTTAAATAGAGAAAGACAAATTGTTCTTAGGTTTACAGCAGGAAAATTCTCCTTTGATATATATTTGGCTGTGTGTTCCCTTCTGCAGTTGGGAGTACTCTACTCTGCTTTTTTTAAAAAAATAAAGAAATCCTGAGCCCACAAAGACTTCTTTTTTATATTACTATTGGCTCTATTAATGTGTTTGTACTGTATTGTCCTTGCGCAGTGATGCTTTGCCCCGAACAGGGTGTGCATCAGGGAAAAGTGGGGTGGGGTGTAGTGAGAGCCCCCCAGGACACAAGTGTCAGTCAAGGGCAGGGATAATGTGGTGGTACAAGAGAGGTGGGGAAAACAGTGGCCATTGAGGCAGGATGATGCTGCTTGCACGAGAGATGGAGCCTTAGGCAAATAAGAAAGTGACAGCATGTATCAGGGATGTGGGGGGAGGGATTGTCTCTTGACCCACTGATTGGCAAGGTGTGGGAAGAACAAGGGAGACTGTGTCCCTTGGCGCATACCAGTCAAATCACTGTCTGCAGGGCTTTAGTGAAGCTGTAATAAGGGAAGCGTTTACACAAATGTCTCTTAATGAGTCAGACTTCAATTTTTTGAAAATCCAAGAGCAGGTAAATATATGCTTTCGTGTGCATGCACATTTTTTGTATCTGAAGAAGTGTGCATGCACACGAAAGCTTATACCCAGAACAAACTTAGTTGGTCTCTAAGGTGCTACTGGACAATTTTTATTTTTTCCCCAACTGCGTCAGACCAACACAGCTACCTACCTGAATCAGGTAAAGATAGATTCCCTGGCTTGGATCCTAAGATACAATAAGGGAGTTTACAGATGGAAAGTTTTCCCTTCTCTTCCCTGCAGCCTTCTGCACATACACCCTCCAGGCAGTTGGACAGATTCAGGGGAGGCATGAGGCCTGCCATCTTGTCAGGGAGCAACCTGTTATTCCTTTTTTTTGGAAAGGAACTCTGCCAGTAAGGCGGGTGGGAAGCCTCCCCCACCTGCTACAGATTCATCATAGGCCATGTTCCTGGCCAGCGCTTCTCAAGATTTTGTACTGACTTGCCTCACACCAACATACAGTGGTACCTCGGGTTACGTATGCTTCAGGTTACATACGCTTCAGGTTACAGACTCCAGTAACCCAGAAATATTACCTCAGGTTAAGAACTTTGCTTCAGGATGAGAACAGAAATCATGCAGCAACGGCGCAGCGGCAGCAGGAGGCTCCATTAGCTAAAGTGGTACCTCAGGTTAAGAACAGTTTCAGGTTAAGAACAGACCTCTGGAACGAATTAAGTTCTTAACCCGAGATACCACTGTGCAAACCTGAGGTGTAGATCCTCTGTAGGGCTATACTAGAGCTGAGACTGGGTCCAGATAGTCATTTGGTGACTAGGCCTTACTGCATGAATATTTATTTGTGTGCTGGTTCCCAGTAGTCAGCCCCAACCAGTGCTGACTCCATGTATTGCCAGGGTTTTTTGGCAGGCGGGGCGGGAATACAATGGTACCTCAGGTTAAGTACTTAATTCGTTCCTGAGGTCCGTTCTTAACCTGAAACTGTTCTTAACCTGAAGCACCGCTTTAGCTAATGGGGCCTCCTGCTGCCACCACACCACCAGAGCACGATTTCTGTTCTCATCCTGAAGCAAAGTTATTAACCCGATGTACTACCCACGACCTGATTGTGGATGGAGGATTTGACCTGGCATGTGTGACAGAGACCTGGTTGGATGAAGCAGATGGGCCCGTCCTTGCCGCTGCTTGTCCACCAGGTTTCTCTTACGCACAGCAACCCAGGCCTTGTGGGCGGGGAGGGGGGTTGCAGTGATTTTTAGGAAGTCTTTAGTTTGCACCAGGCGTCCTATTGGAAAGACCCAGTTCTCTGAGTGCATGTTCTGGAAGTTGGGCAATAGGGGCAGTACAGGATTCCTATTGGTGTACCGACCTCCCCGCTGCACCAAGGATTCCCTGCCCGAGCTGCTTCAGGTTGTGGCGGATGTCCTCCTGGAGACACCTAGTTTGGTTATCCTAGGGGACTTTAACATCCATGCCGACACGACCTTACAAGGGGCCGCTCGGGACTTCGTGGAAAGCATGGCCTCCATGGGGCTGTCCCTGAATAAGTCTGGCCCAACTCATAGCCACGGGCATGCCTTAGACCTGGTGTTCACTTCTATGGATGTTGGTGATCTGACATTAAGTAAAAGCGAAACCAAAGAAGTGCCATGGTCAGATCACTTCCTGGTGCAACTGGACTTCTCCGTGACCCTTCCCCTCTGCAGGGAGGCGGGACCGATTCAGATGGTCCGCCCCGCCACTTAATGGATCCAAATGGTTTCCAGAGAGTGGTAGGGGATGTTTTATCCCATGTTGATGGCCTTTCAGCTGATTCCCTGGTGGCCCGCTGGAATGTGGAGTTAACCAGGGCTATTGACTGTTTGGCTCCAAAGCGCCCTCTCCGATTGCATGGAGTCCGGACAGCCCCGTGGTTTTCCACGGATCTGAGGGCAATGAAACAATCGTTGAGACAGCTAGAGCGCCGGTGGCGGATAACCCATTCTGAATCTGACCGGACACGGGTTAGAGCTCAATGTCGAGCCTACTAAGTGGCGATAGCGACGGCGAAGAAGACTTTCTTCACCGCCTCTATTGCATCTGCGGAAAACAGCAGCAGGAGACTCTTTCAGGTGGTTCGCAATTTAGCGGAACCACCTGCTCCATCAGGGCCCAGTAGCGGCCACATGATCTCCTGCAATGACTTTGCAAAGTTTTTGCAGATAAAGTCGCTCAGCTTCGAGAAGAGGTAGACTCCACCGTGGGAGCAGGGCCGGGGCAGGAGAGTGCTAGAGTCCTGTCTAGTCAAGTTGTGTGGGATCAATTCCAATCTGTTACCCCGAGGATGTGGACAGGCTGCTTGGACGAGTGAAACCAACCACTTGCCTCCTTGATCCTTGCCCATCCTGGCTTATAAAAGCTAGCCGGGAAGGACTGGGCGATGGGCTTCGTGGGGTGGTGAATGCTTCCCTCCGTGAGGGAGCCTTCCCAGACCCGCTGAAAGAGGCGGTTATTAAACCGCTTCTTAAAAAAAACATCTTTAGATGCGGCCACGATAGCCAACTATCGCCCAGTCTCAAATCTTCCATTCTTGGGCAAGGTGATTGAGCGAGTGGTTGCTGAACAACTCCAGGCACGCCTGGAAGAAGCGGACCATTTGGATCCCTTCCAGTCGGGATTCAGGCCTCATCATGGGACTGAAACTGCCTTGGTCGCACTGGTTGATGATCTCCGGCGGGCTAGGGACAAAGGTGAGAGCTGTTTCCTAGTTCTGCTGGATCTCTCAGCGGCATTTGATACCATCGACCATAACATCCTTCTGGACCGTCTTGAGGGGCTGGGAGCTGGGGGCACTGTTATACAGTGGTTCCGCTCCTTCCTCCTGGGCCGTGTTCAGAAAGTGGTGGTGGGGAATGAGTGTTCAGACCCCTGGGCCCTCACTTGTGGGGTGCCTCAGGGTTCTGTCCTCTCCCCCATGCTTTTCAACATCTACATGAAGCCGCTGGGAGAGATCATCAGGGGATTTGGGCTGGGTGTTCATCAGTATGCAGATGATACCCAGCTCTACCTCTCTTTCAAATCAGAACCAGTGAAGGCAGTGAAGGTCCTGTGTGAGTGCCTGGAGGCGGTTGGAGGATGGATGGCGGCTAACAGATTGAGGTTGAATCCTGACAAGACAGAAGTACTGTTTTTGGGGACAGGAGGCGGGCAGGTGTGGAGGATTCCCTGGTCCTGAATGGGGTAACTGTGCCCCTGAAGGACCAGGTGCGCAGCCTGGGAGTCATTTTGGACTCACAGCTGTCCATGGAGGCACAGGTCAAATCTGTGTCCAGGGCAGCTGTTTACCAGCTCCATCTGGTACGCAGGCTGAGACCCTATCTGCCTGCGGACTGCCTCGCCAGAGTGGTGCATGCTCTGGTTATCTCCCGCTTGGATTACTGCAATGCGCTCTACGTGGGGCTACCTTTGAAGGTGACCCGGAAACTACAACTAATCCAGAACGCGGCAGCTAGACTGGTGACTGGGAGCGGCCGCAGAGACCACATAACACCGGTCTTGAAAGACCTACATTGGCTCCCAGTACGTTTCCGAGCACAATCCAAAGTGTTGGTGCTGACCTTTAAAGCCCTAAACGGCCTTGGTCCAGTATATCTGAAGGAGCGTCTCCACCCCCATCGTTCTACCCGGACACTGAGGTCCAGCACTGAGGGCCTTCTGGCGGTTCCCTCACTGCGAGAAGCCAAATTACAGGGAACCAGGCAGAGGGCCTTCTCGGTAGTGGCGCCTTCCCTGTGGAACACCCTCCCACCAGATGTCAAAGAGAACAACAACTACCAGGCTTTTAGAAGACATCTGAAGGCAGCCCTGTTTCGGGAAGCTTTTAATGTTTGATGTATTATAGTATTTTAATATTCCTTTGGAAGCCGCCCAGAGTGGCCGGGGAAGCCCAGCCAGATGGGCGGGGTATAAATAATAAATTATTATTATTATATTATTATTACTATTTCTGGGTTAGCAGAGTCTGTAACCTGAAGCATATGTAACTTGAATCGTATGTAACCCGAGGTACCACTGTACATGGAGTGCTTCTTGTTACCATTGCAGTTGTTTGTTAGACCCAAGAAAGAGTGGACAAAAGGGTTGAAATGGTAAAAGAAAAGTGCACAGTGCTGTTGTGACTGAGCACTCTGCCTGACCATGTTGATTGTTGATGCCATGCTGACCCTTAATCAGCAAAATGTCCATTAATATCTCTTTTGACTCTCTTTACCCCACTATTTGTTTATTAGGATATTATATTTCCACCAGGTGTTTGGAACATATTTGAGTTGCTCTTATCCAAATGGCATCCTTCTCTCTCTCTCTCCCCACCCCCACTCCAATCCAAGCACTTGGGGTGGTGATTACACGAGGGCATCTTGTGCATTACAAATGTAGAAAATAGGGTGGGTCCTTGATTCACGTTACAGTGCTTCCAAACACCCAGCAATAATGTTCAAATAAATAATGTTTCTGGCTATTCGGAAATGAAGTGAGTTAAACCTGTGCATTTGTTTGTTTATTCTTCATTCGCCATTTAAGGAGCTGGCAAACATTCCTCCAACCTTACAAAGACTGCCAGTCATTGCTCATTCATTCAGCATATTGCACCTCAAGATGGCACTCTTGAACTACTCAGCTTTTGAGGGATATACTGATTAAGAATTACTCACAGCAGGAAACTTTCAGAAAACAGGATATCTTAGGGAGGTCCAACTTAAGCAGGAACAACTGCCGCAATGTTCAAACAGAACAACCACATCAGACACTGACAGCACGACTTACTGATATTTATATACCAAGGATTATACTTCTTCCAAACGCTAGCTGAAACTATTCATTACAATTGAAATTACTGTTGTTATAAGCTAAAGGCAGTTTTAACTAACCACTGCAAAAAGGGAAATGCTTTCATCTTGCTTCTGAACTCTGTAGCCCCAAATTTTAATGATATAATTCTTTATATGATGTGAAAATCGCCTACAATATGTCTTTATTATTTTCTTTCAGAAGTCTGTTGCATTTTAAATAAATAAATAAATAAATAAATAAATAAATCTGGATTAGAATTACAGATCTAGTTGTGACCAGGTTGCTGAACTGCATATATAGAATTGAGGAGAACAGTTGGAATGGCATGAGAATACCTTCTTATTTCTTCCAGATTTTATCCTTCATTCTTTCCCTTCATTGCAGTGTCCAGGGAAGTGCTCTTCTGACTTCCTGGAAGAGGGAAGCAGGGCTTCTGAATTCAAAGTGTGATTTTTCCCATCCTCTCAATATTCCGTTTGCCTGGGCCAGCATTTGGAGTGAGGAGAGAATATATAGCAGGGATCACCACATATTTGGTCCAGTGGACATATTTGGAATTTTGGGAAAGTGCCATGGACACCGGTCACAAATTAATGGCAGTGGGGCATGTCACAGCACAAAATGGCTGCCATGGGTGCATGGCATAACACAACATGGCTGTCAGAAAGGAGAAATGGATCACAAAATAGTGGGCACCATGTTGGATACCTCTGATATATGGTATCATCTGGTCTCATTTGGTAGAAGCTCCATGAGAAACTTCTCAGTGTATTTAATGCAGAGTCAGAATTATGCACCTTGATTACAACTTTCCATGCATTTTGGCGTATGTGATTTTGTAAGCACCTTAACAATTGCCTTAAACCAAAGGCATGCGCACACACATGCGCACACACACACACACACACACAAAATATATTTTTGAAAACCAATCTATCATATCTATAGCAAGAAATAGAATGCCTTCCTTAGTACAGTGGTACCTCAGGTTACATATGCTTCAGGTTACAGACTCTGCTAACCCAGAAATAGTGCTTCAGGTTAAGAACTTTGCTTCAGGATAAGAACAGAAATCGTGCTCCGGCAGTGTGGTGGCAGCAGGAGGCCCCATTAGCTAAAGTGGTGCTTCAGGTTAAGAACAGTTTCAGGTTAAAAACGAATCTCAGGAACGAATACTTAACCTGAGGTACCACTGTAGTTGGTTTATAATTTAATCAACAATAATACCTATACATTGACATAAATTTATTGTTTCTACAATTCTCATTGGCCATGCTGCCTGGAGCTGATGGAGTTGTAGTGCCAACAACATCTGGAGGACCTCAGGTTCACTATCCTGCTCTGTAAAATGCAAAATGTGCTAGCATTAGTATTAAGGAGGCAGCAGTATGCATTGCCACTTGACCTGATTTCCAGATGAAAAGATATGCAGCAGGTGGGTTGTGTCCAATTTTCTAATGATTTGTAAAACTTTTATGAGCTTTAGCTGATGAGTAAGCTTTTCAGCCCTAGCTGGGTCCCATAAGTTTCCATACCACAGATTTAAACTTGAATCCTTCAAAGTCTTCCATTGCTGTGCCACATAAATCCATGCAACAGTCACTGTGAATGTCAGCAGTTCATTAGATTTTGTGGCCTCATTAGGGGAAACAATATCCATTTTAGCTTTCACAAGGGCCACCTTCAACCTTGTTGCTAAAATGAAACCTTATCTTGACTCAGCTTCACATGTACCCACAGCTTTAAGGATTTCGTGCTGTTTTATGCAGGGACACGACTGGCCCGTACGGGCAGGGGTACCTTTACCTTTAATGTTGCGTTGTTTTATAGAAAGGCTAATGGTAGAAGCAATTGTGGTTTCCCTAGGCAGCATTAAAATGTCCTGTTAATGACTGCTTGTTGCTGCTTTTCACTGACAGCTGTAAACAAACATACCAAGGACAGAAGTATTAAAAAGGCTGAAAGGAAAGGAAACGAAGCGCAAAGACCTTGGCATTTGCAGACCTTGTTTTGCACATGCAGGTAAAGTGCTCCAATTCAATGCCTGAATATTAGAACGTATGTTAACTCTGGTGACAATTATTGGACAGAAGAATCAGTTTGCTGCAGCAAAATGTGAATATTTTAATGGATTTCAATTTAGCAATTTGAAGACTGAATACATCCCAAGAAAAATAAAGGGCTGCAAATCATAAACATTTCATTTCACTCATCTCCTTTCCAAGAAAATACTAGAAATGTTTGAACTCCTCTACATATATCTCTATCTTTTTTTTTGTCCAGATGAAACCACCAAAGAAAACTTCAGCCACAATCTCATTAAAGTCAGAATAACTATTGAGGAACCATTTCCAAAACCCATGAATGTGCCTGAAACTAGGCCCAGAAACCACAAGACTATAGAAAATAAATGTTGTTCTTCATTTGGTGAGTTTGCAGCACATCCTTGAATCTGTTTTCTACCTTTAATTACGGAGATGAGTATTTCTTAAGCTCAGGTTGAGGTATTTGAAAAACCAAAGGATTTGAAAGGATTTCAGTGAAAATAACAATACTGATAGTAGGCTCACACCTTTTTACTGATGTGGAAATCATGGTTATTGCTTGATTACTGAATGTGTAAATAATATCTTATGTGATCTGCAACCATGGGACCTTCATTCTCATCACATATATTTATTTACTTGAGAGGAAACAAGCTAGAAAAAGATGAAATGACAATGGGATTTGCTATCAGCTATCATGTTGTGGCTATACTTAAACTGTGACCTCATAAGAGCAGAAAGAAAATTGGTAGCATCGCTGGGTCACAAGGGTGAAACAAGAGGAGGAAAGACCTTTATTCCAGAAACTGAAAAGTGAAGTTGTGCAGTAGTTCTATAACAGATCTGCTTAAGAGCATTAATTAGTGAGTCAGAAGGCTACTCTCCATTATGCAATAGGTTTTCCAGCTCACTGGCATTAAACCAGTTCCAATAAAGATCATTTTTGCTCCTTCGAAATTTTCTCATGAAAGAAAATCATTTGAAACCTTTGATTACTGGGATGCTGTTTGTTTATCAAAGAAAGAACATGAGGGACATTGCCTTTTTATCTTTAATGGGAAACCTCAGAAAAATGAGGGTGGGCAGTAGGGAACACAGGGGTAGGAGAGAAAGTTTAATATCCAACACATTTTGGACATCTCATACTGTATATATAAATGTGATGTATGCAGAGCTTTTAGGATTTCTATACATGATTTTGTAGTAGTAGTAGTAGTAATAAATACTATACTATACTATACTATACTATACTATACTATACTATACTATACTATACTATACTATACTGTAATTTGTCCCAACTGTTTCATTGCCCTTAATTCACTGGTATACCAAGGTACAAATGCCGGAAACTCTCAGGGCAACCCTGTCAAGCCCCACACTGGGGCAAGAGCTTGAACAGGGCTACCTGCTCTATCTTCCAGGGCATTCAGGAATCCATTGGATTCCTTTAGTCTCTGGGAACATACCATCATCTCTCCACCACCCCTTACAAGGGGAAGACTGGAGCCATAAGTCCAAACTTCACCAGGAAACGATCTGACTATGACAACAAGGTAACACCCACGCAGCCCTTCCTCTACCTGGAGCAAAAACTGAATCAAGGGTGTGGTCTGCCCTATGTGTCAATTTGCCAGCTTAGTCAGAGAACCTGCTCAGCAGCAGGGTAGATGATTGGCATATATCCATTTCAGTTGTCATGTTTAGTGAAGCTCTCTGCTGAAGTAAAGCAATTTATCTGGATGGCTTTTACCATGTACTGTACATAGTTCTTCGGAGAAAAAAATGATTTATGTGGCACCCTTCTTGGTGATATATATTATCACTATGATAGAATTGCTGATTGTTCTTATGTTTCACTCTATCTAAGAAGATTTATTCTTTCCCAAAACTTTTCAGCAGGAGGTATAAATATATTGTGCAAATGACCTGCTGTCCTTAGCGTTGAACTGCATAGCTATGGGTAAAATATAGAATTTTGTACGTGCTTCTGCTTTAATTATCGCAATGCAAACTATAGTGAATAGTATGTCCCAAGGGAAAATGCTTATGGTACTTTAAAAGGAAGCAGAAATAATTTAGATCATAACAAGTGTTGTCCTGCAAAAAATAATTTTTAAAAAATGGTGGGAAGTGCTCCTGCGCAGGGTCCAAATCACTACATTCCTTTCATCTGTTTGGCTTGCTCAGCCCTCATTGGGCTATTGGGGTTTCTTATCTCTGCAATTTTGGTTGGTTTTCCCCCTTCAAGTTTGGATTTTTAAAAGGTGTGTGGTAGAGGCACTTATACCCTGTCACAGCTACATTAAAATAATTGATTTTTCTATCCATGTCTTTGGGAAGATCTCACTTCTGTTCTTAGCGACATTTTAAATTAGTTTCTTCAGTGCAAAACAGGAAGTTATCTATCCAATCAGGGAGATGCTTTTTCCTACTAATATATATTTCTCTGTCCTCATGTTCCAGGCAGTCCATTCTAGTCTCCCTTCCACTCAGTTGTCAGATCCACACACCCCGGTCTTACTCTGTGAGGGCGAGAGCTCTACAATTGTTTTTTGTACTTTATGTGTACCTTGGGGTTGCCTCATGTCTGCTGGCACTTCTTTTTTGCGTGATAATGGTGTCTACATGAGCGTGGAGCAACTTGGAATTACATTAGTATATAGACAGGTCAGATCCTGCAATATAATGTTGCATCATATCTCTGTTATGTTTGTGTGTATGACCTGAAGGAGCTGAAAAGTGAATGTTAACATGAAAGTCAGGAGTGCCTGCTCCAACTTAGGTCTGACTTCATGTCCATTTGTTTTGTATAGCGTTTGAGCATTTGAAAGTGCAACCAGTCAACATGCAAGTCAATGAATCATGAGGCTTCTTCAGGCAGAATTATCCTGAATTGCATCAGTGCTGTATCAGCCATTACTTAAGCGATGATGGCTTCCACACTAGTCCCTCACACTGGAATTGCCAAATTTTGTTCACTCACTTTTTATGGGAATCAAGTGCACTGATTGACTGTTTGAGGCAGAGAGGGAGGGGTTAGACCCCCCTTCCCCTTCAAGGAGCAGATTGGCAGGGTTTTGCAGCTTTTTCAAAGGAGCTGCACTTATGCAGCCCCAGCTGCTACACCCACACCCTGTTGCTTGCAACTATATATATTTATTAAGATAGAAATGAAAGAAAAAGGTACATCACTCCATGTTTTAACTTCGCATTCAGCAGGCCTTGCATATTTTATTCAAGTTTTTTTCAAGATAATGGTAGTACAAAAAGTTCCACTTTTTATTCCATTTTCTGCTTATCTATATTTGTCACCTGAAGTTTTCCAGTCCACATAACTGCTAAGTTAATAAAACAGGATAAAAGATGCAGCTTCTTATCCAACAAGGAATAACAGCGCACGAAAACAGCCATTCATGCTCAGATTTTCCTGGTAAATCAGGAACTAATAAGGTGGGCATGTACATCCAGTAAAGACTGACTTTTTCATTATAATGCACATCTGAATGACAGACACCTAATGCCCATACAATGGTGTGAAGGAAGAAGTGCCTTATCATCTAATTGGGCATATACAGTGCCGGATTTACGTATAAGCTAAATAAGCTATAGCTTAGGGCCCCACTCTCTTGGGGCCCCCCAAAAAAAATTAAAGGGGAAAAAACTGGATGTACATTTCCAAAAATAAGATAAAAAACAAATAAAATAAAACTTACATACAGCAACAGTGTTTTGTGTTGTGTATGGACCTATTAGGTCCATAAATTTGCATATAGCATATATTCAACCAAAAAAAACAGCGACAATTTGTTGTTGACAAAGGACAGGTGGACATATAAAGGGCCCCATTACCTTCAGTAGCTTAGGGCCTCATCAAACCCAAATCCCAGCCACAGTGTTTAAACCACTAGTCACACAAATGTCCACACAGCTCAAATTCCAACTTTTAACAACCGCATATCCTGCCAGGAACTGTGAAGTATACAGACACATCTATTGGTTAAATCAAGCATTGCATAAACTTTTCATCTCAGGAGATCGACAAAGGTAAGGTTTCCTTATGGCAACTTTTTTTGGTGAAGAAGATATCACTTACTTCTGAGTAGCCATAGCTAGGTTTGTGCTGCTAGACTTCTAATGTCAGTGTCATATCCCACTGATCCGGTCATAGAGTGTATAAAAACACACCTGCATTGCAAAACTCTTTGGAAATTTTAGAAGAAATGAGCTAAGCAGAGGAGTCCCAAAAGGTATAATAAATGTAGAAAGCAAGGGATTCAAAAGCTTTAGGAAGGTCAGATAACCTGTTGTAGGCTGCAATCCTAATCCCATTACCTGGCAGTAAGCATCAATGAATTCAATAGGACTTACTTCTGAGTAGAAATGGTTAGGTTTGTGTTGCTAGACCTCTAATGCCAATGTGGGATACTTTCCCAATCCACATATCCTAGCAAGTAAGCGGCAACAGAATGTTTGAAGATACAACTGTGTGCAAAGATCTTTGCACATTTCAGAAGAGACGTGGGATGGAGGGGTGAATTCAAAGGTTTAAAGAAACTCCAAATTAGGGTGAGGAGCTGTCTCTTTAAGAAACCACTGAGGCACTGGAGAAAGGCGGAGGAGAAGCCCTCACCTGCAGCTGCAGCCAATCATAAGCTACGGCTTATTTTATTTGGGAATAGTGTTACGTGCATAAGATTTGATAGAACATGCCAGAACATTGGTGTTATTAAGATAGCAATGCTATCTTTCCTTAAATTATCTTTATAACAAACTGATATAAAAAGGTAAGTGAAATTATTATGAGACCACAAAGATAAGTGATGATAAACTCTCCTTAAAGTCTTTCCAACATCTCCCTGATGGTGGTAAACAGATTCCTAGCACCTATCATAGAATCATGTTTCTTCTATTTTGTGCTTGCTGACAAATGCACCTAATAAATGTCAGTCAAGAAAAAGATCTGAAATACACTTGTTCAGAGATTGCCTTGAGCTTTTCACACAAGGTTAAAGCAAATAGAAAAGTTGTATCTATTCTCTTTAATGTTGCTTTCCTTTTAACTTTTGACCTTCCTAGTGAGCTGTATTTTTCTTACTGGATTGAAAGAAGTATTGGGTTGCCACTGCATGGCCAGTGATCCTTCCTTTAATTTCCAGAAAGCAATTTCTGAAGGTTCAGCTTTACAGTAACCAGGTTACTGGAAAGAGCATCTGGAAGATAATAAAATAAGTATCAAAGCTGATATTTGAGTAAGGTGATATGTCTTTCAACTATCTGCACATTCATGTGTGGTGCTTCTGCCAGTACCAGCCAGTGGCGCTTTGAGAACAGGTTCACCAAAGCTCAGTTAAGGGTGATGAGTATTCTCAAAATCAGTGCACACCCTTAAAAAACCTAGATCCTGGACAATAGAATTGTCCTATGTTGACATCTTAGTCCTGTTCAGGCATGCTTGGGAGGAGAGTGCAGACATCCTAGCTAGCTCTGCCCCCTCCATGGTGTCTCTTCAGCCTCTGCATAGAATCACAGAATTGTAGAGTTGGAAGGGACCATGAGGACCATCTAGTCCAATGCCCTTCAATGCAGGAATCTTTTGCCCAGTGTGGGGCTTGAACTCATGACTCTGAGATTACGAGCCTCATGCTCTACCAACTGAGCTATCCAATTTGATTGTTTTCTGTGTGTTCAAATCTGAAGGTCTGATCACGCAGAGTTAGAAAGCAGGTGAGGAGACTCCATGAGTACACCGGACTCTCTGCTGCAGACACCTGCCCTCCAGAGATGGCAAAGAGAGGGCAGACCTAGCTATTATGTTCCCACTCTCTCCTTTATTGTATGAGGGGGAGAACTTTTGAATGGGGCCCTTGTCTTCTTGGGAATCCCATTTTAAAAGTAAGATTGTAGCTGCCACATGGATAGCATCTGCTAAAACTCAAGAGTGGTGCTAAAGCTTAGAAGTCTCATTGGACAAATATTTTTGTGGCTAGGAGTTGGATGAAGACACCAGGTAGCAGTAGGATTCAAAGGCCAGAATTTTGTTAAACAAGGATGTGCAAAGAGCATTAGGGGGTGGAGATTATCAGACATCTGTGGGCATTCTGCAACTTAAGAAGAAATGGAAAGGGCCAGAGCTCAATGGAGCATCTGGTCTCCATGCAGAATATCCAAAGTTCAATCAGAAAACGGGTCATGCATCAGAAACGTTGAGCTTTTCGTTCATCAGAACTTCAAAAACCCTGGTCTTAATAAAGCAGGCCAGTCTCCTCTTGCCCTTTCATTTAAGTTTCATCTGTGTGTTTATAATGGGACAGGAAAATATCCAGAAATGGATCTATATACATATATTGGATTGAAGGATAAGAGTGATATATGATTCTCACAACCAGCAGCTTCTTAGTTTGAGAACTTGAAAGTTCTTATTAGACCAGAGAGTGGTCACATGTGAACCCAGTTAACTATTTTATCAATTGGTCTAAAGCATCTAGTGATAGTTCCTTTAGATAATTTGATCGTCCAAGGAGACAAAAGATTGTGCTGCAATTGGAGCGGTGCAAGAAGCAATAAACTCATTTTTAATGTTTCCTAGGATGTTATTTCTGTAAGAACAATTTTTGACTTACTCAAACCCCCTGGAAATCTTTGGCACAAAAGCACATGAAATTAAGCCCTTTGTGTTTATCTCTAAAGGTGCCTACCCAGTTAAATAAATTAAACAAGCTTGGTTTGATGTGCATGTGCTGCTCAGAAGCACACTTTAGCAACAGCAGCAATAAGGAAATTGAGGCAGGAGGATAATTTAGAAAATATCAGCTGCAGTATAGATTTGTGTGGAGAGTATAAAATGCATTGCAACCTAAAAAAGATGAGCACACATGGCAGTCATGGATGGAGTTAGATTTAGCAGCCCTGGAAAAAGCTCAGTTACATTTTGGGCTTTGATAAGGGATAAGAGGGTGTAAGAATGCTATTGACAATAAAATTACTTCATTGCATTGGCATGCTTACTTCCCTTCTTTTTTTAGACAGTCTACTACCATGATCATTCCATGGGAAAACACCTAGGGGACAGCAAATAGATATTGTGCCTATTCACAAGAGGTTCTAAGACAGATCCAAATAATTTTAAACCAATTAGGTTGCTTAGTGTTGTTTCTAAATTGTATTCTAAATACTTTTGGGTTGTAAAAAGTTGAGTTAAAGCTGAAGAACAGGTGGAGTTTATAAAACTACAACAGAGCTGTGTTTTTTCCCTCCACCAATCGATTAAAAATACAGCATTTTACTGTGAATTTCTTCTAATAAGCATATTTTACATGCACTTTTCACTAATATACACATTTTTGAAAGCAGCCTTTGCTGATATAATGCATTTTGTATGCTATTTTCATAAATATATGCATTTATATGCACACTTTATGCATATATATATATATATATAATTACATGGCTGAAGAACTGCATTGCAAAATTCAGAGAAGCGCAAATTTCAAAGGATGGCTATATTTCGGTTTGCCTCTGGTTTCAGAAAGTGGCAGGAATGCCAGTGATTGGACCCAAGACCATCTGCACGCAAAGCATTGGTGGCAGTGCTTGGTGGATTTATTTCTAAGAAAGAGTTACTAATGTTGCTTGTGAGACCCATATGATCCAGATGGTGCTTAAGAATACAAACAGGTCCTTCAGATAATGCAGGTAGGTCACTAACAACTTTCCTGACTTTCCACAGACAGGGTGACTTTGGAATAAACAGGAGGCAGGGACTGTTGGGCTGCCATTTTGATGCTGGTGGCAATGTGTGGATGCTGCAATAAACATTCATGTATGAGAAGTGCCCATCCTCAATAAACATGCATCCGAAAGCACTCACCGTGGATACAGCTGTTTGTCTTTGGTAACAGAAAAAGAGAAGCGCTTCTCCCAAAATGTTCCAGTGCTATGTACAAATCTCAGGCATCTCAAGTCATGGAGGGTACCATCAGAAATAGATGGTTAAGACAGCAGTATGTGGAAACTCAGCATCTTGGAACTGATTTTGCATCTCCAAAAGGATAGACCTGATTGAACTATCTAGAGAGCCAAAGCCACATCTGTAAAGGGATAACCAGACTGGCAGTTTTTCTTCTCTGTTCCTGATATTGGTACTAGGTGGAGGATGCAACCAACACTTTCTTTTATGATCTATCGGTGTTTGTTCTCCACATTCTGGTTGCTCCTCCCCTTCTGCTTCATTTTAGAGAAACAGAGTTTTGATTGGCTGGCCTGGACACATTTGATGCTCCTTCAGCTCCTGGCCATTTTCTCTCTTTCCAAAAATAATAATCTGAGCCTTCTCTTTTTAAGAAAAGTATTTTAAAACAATGAATTGGTGCCTATGCAGATCCACACATAGGCAAAGTCACGAGGGTGCTGATGATGCCATCAGTCAATCTGAACTTCAGAAGCTGAACAATTTTTTTTTCCCTGTGGAAGATGTTTTGTAACCATCCCTATTGTCCTTGTATTTCTTGCCTCTTGATAACTATTTGCTTTCCAGTTTGAAATAATGTATGGAAAGTGTTTATCTGCTTTCTTCAATATTCTGTTGTCAGACACAGTGAACATTAGTGGTGTTGGCTGAGAAATCTTTGTCGGGAATCTTGTTTTCTAAAGCATTATTTGTGTCCTGCAAGAAGCGCTATTCTTTTATATAAATATATATTCTTGGCTGACACTTTCAGTGTAGCAGATTGTTGTATCTTCCCACAGGATAAAATTCACAAGGAGTGTCTGCAAAATCAAAAGGAGAATAATTCTACCTAGCCCCTGAATTTCCACATTGCTCTTTGTGTGCATATTCCTATAGACACTGCACTGCTTGTTGAAAATCATGCATTTGTGTTGTACATGAGAGAGCCAGGAAGGGAGGACAAGACTATAGCTCAGTGGCATGCAGAAGGCCCTGGGTTCAATTTCTGGCATATCTGTGTGCAGCTAAGGAAGATTCTGGTCTGAAACCCTTGGAAAGCCACTGCCCATCACTGCAGACTATTAGCTGATGGGTTGGGACCCATTACTAAGTTGCAACCTGATCTAAGGTGAATCACAACAACAGTGCTGCCTCCATACAATATATGGTAAAATCAATGAAGAAATGGTCCCCAAATGCATGTTTGGGTTAAAGATGGGTTCTGAGCATCCCAGGCTTTGTGATATACATTGATGGAATCCACCTCGGCTAGAGGGAGAGGAGAAGAATGGGGTGGGTGAAGCTCTGGGTATTAGTGTACGCTGTATGGCCATGGCTACTGTGCTTTATGCATTTCTGCCTGTAAACTGCACTGTGGTTTAAAATAATTTATTGGTATTTTCAATTATTACTCTTTTTTTGGCTTTTTCTAAATACTGCTATTGGGATTCATTTAAAATGGGTTAAGTGTTAGTCGGTGATATCAGCCCTATTAACATTTGTATTGTGTTTGAGCTCCACATGCGTGGGGCGTGGGGATGAGTGTGTTAGCTCCACTCCTCCATCGTTGCTCCTGTTGCCACCCAAAAGCATGACTATCTGTAAAGAGGAGCCCGGGAGTCTCCCCTCCCGGTGCAGAGTTAGGAGGAGGAGCTCATGCCTTCATCTTCACACTCCCACTTCATGTGCAGAGTTCACACACAACGCAAACACTTGAACGGGGCCGTTGTGTGTTTCACGATGAATCTGTAATGCTGCAATGAGTCTTAGGTTAAATTTTCAGAGGGTTAGCTATGTTAGTTTGTTGCAGGCACCAAAACAAATCAAAGAGTTTTGTGGTACTTTAAAGAATAACCAATTTCATTACGGCATAAGCTTTTTTGGGCTAGAGCTCACTTTGTCAGCAGTATTGAAGTACGATCATCCGTTGTTGTGTGTGTGTGTGTATTACACACACATGGGTGTAAATGGAGCAAAATATATAAATGTTGGAGTCAAATAGGACTTTAAAGTACCACCTGTGACATATCATTAGAGGCAAAATAAATAAATAAATAAAACCCTACTAAAATGTAGTATAGTTTAGTGATTGATATTGCTTTTATTACCGTTAATTTGCTATGTTATCACAATGCTATTTCCTATAGGGGGGAAAAGAAAGAACATCATGACTAAATGTATTTTCTTAACATGGGGATGGAAGTCCTAGGCCAGTCTTCCCCCAGTCTGGTGCTTTCCAGTGTGCTGGCTGGAGGGAGGGACGGATGGGATTTGTAGTCCAAAATTTATGGAGGGCACTAATTTGGTGAAAGCTGCCCTTAACCATTATCAGTTCTCCATATGTTCTCTGGTGGGATCATGGACTGATGAGTCCTTTACAGATTAACTCAAGTAATCTAGACAGCAGTATGCCAAAATAAGAATATAAAGTTCACCATGAGTAGCACTATGCCAGAGTAGATATTGAGCCATGCATATTAGATACTCAGTTATGTGTACTATAATCAGCCATTTATTCAAGATAGTGGGTTGCTAGCTGCATATTACAAAGGAAGGCTGGCTAGATAAATAAGTAGACAGATGATAGACACACACATGCACACATCAGAATAAAAATCCAGTTTCACTTCAGCAGGGTTGGGGTGTGTGTGTAATCCCTGGCAGCTGATATTGTGAACTGTTGAACTCTATGCATGAAATTGAGTGTGTCCACCAATACTTCTCCACAAGTTTAGTTTATTGCGGCAAAGCTTCATTCCATTCAAAGTATTTGTATAGTTGTTTTGGTGAATTGCTATCTCCTAACTTGCTATAGCTGAGATGATTGTGTAAGTTGATTACATAATACATAGCATGTAAAAGGAAACAGCAGCTGAGCAATGGTATTTGCTGTTCTTCATCCAAGCGAGAAGGAAAGGTTTTTCCTTTCAATGAATAGCAACTGAAAAAAGAGAAGGATATCTGTCAAGGTCTAAGCAAAAATTGAAAACACGCACCTTTGGTCCTTGTTTTGCTGTAGTTCTTTTTAGAACAGGAGATAATGGTCTTTTTTTAAAAAAAAAAGCCAGCAAGATTTTTGCTGTTACACAGCTTAAGTGTGCAATGTTTTGCTCGCAGTCTGTCTTCGCTGTCATCAAAATGTAATTTCTCTAGACTCACTGTGGGCTGCAACAGATTTCTTGGAAATGAAGGTTGTGTTGACACCCACAGGCTAGTAATGTTTTCACAAGAAAGAACATGACTTTATATTTGACTCTTTTGAAAGGAGATTAGCAGCAGTAAGATGTGTAAGAACTGCCAGGTTCTCCCTACTCTCCTCTTGCCCCACCGATTCTTCTTTCTTTCTGAGCCCATTCTCTAGGTAGGTGCAACTAAGTGAAGTATTTTAGGCTTGATTCACATGGATATCAGGTGGGGGGGGGAGGGAGTAAAGCTGACACTATCAAAGATGGGGAGGCCAACAGAGCTGGCATGCAAAGCTGTTTTGATTCCCCCTCCTTCTGCCTCTTTCTACCCATAAAGTCTCAACTAACACAAATTGAGAAAATGCAGTGCCTACTTTTCATGGATTTGTAGTAAACCTATGCCTTGTATTGGGGTTAATCTATTAGCTCCACCTAGTGGAGCCACCTAGTAACTGCATAGGAGTTCATAGAATCATAGAATCACAGAATTGTAGAGTGGGAAGGGACCCCAAGGATCATCTAGTCCAACCCCCTGCAATGCAGGAATCTCAGCTAAAGCATCCGTGAGAGATGGCCAGCCAAACTCTGCTTAGAAACCACCAAGGAAGGAGAGTTGACCACCTCCTGAGGGAGTCCATTCTACTGTCAAACAGCTCTTACTGTCAGAAAGTTCTTCCTGATGTTGAGTTGGAATCTCCTTTCTTGTTACTTGAATCCATTGGTTTGGGTCGTACCCTATGGAGCAGAAGAAAACAAGCTTTCTCCATCTTCTATATAGCTATTATATTTCGTCTCAGTCTCCTCTTTTCCAGGCTAAACATACCGAACCGTTCCTCATAAGGCTTGGTTCCAGACCCTTGATCAACTTGGTTGCCCTCCTCTACACACATTCCAGCTTGTCAACACCCTCCTTAAATTGTTGCACCCAGTACTTCAGATGTGATGTGACCAAATCAGAATAGAGCGGTACTATTACTTCCCTTGATCACTGCATTAGCAAAATGTATATAATGCCTGCTGGCCCTGCCCTTGACCTTCACATATTTAGCAGAACCTAAGTGTGTACAAACTGTACATGCATAGTCCATATTCAGTCCAAGCAATCTGGTACACTTATGCAATCTGGTACACTCAGCATGTGACCACCTGAGCTCTAGGCACTTGACAGTGTTGGCAGCATGTAGTTAATTGATAAGCTTTGCACACAATCCTTTGTACACAAGTTGATGTTACTTAGGCACAGCTGGGATTTTAAATTACTGATAGAAGCTGATACATCCCAGAGAAAATCTGATGTCTCAAATACAGCTAGTGGAAAGATTTGTAATCTAATGTGGACTGAAGTCTATCACAGTGGTTGATAGTGTGGACATATATGATGATTAAAAAGTCTGTATACGGGGAGGGAGGGAGAGAGCGAGCGAGAGAGAGAGCGAGAGCGAGAGAATATTAATAATATCTTGTAAGCACAAGTGAAAAGGAAGAATTTGGTGTGAGATTTCTAACAAGGAAGTGACTCACTGCCTCTCCAGGAAAATATTCCAGATAGGTGGGGCTGGAAACATTGCAGAACTTCTTGTCACACTGTGACCCAGTGAGGGCTGCACAGAGGGTTATAGTGAATCCTGGAACTCTGGAAGCTTCCTGAGAACCAGACAGTATAGCTTGTGGCCACAACACCTCAAGCTGTTGGTTGTTGCTTCCTAGAGTAGGGTCAGCCTGATTCATTACAAGGTGGGAGATTGCCAAGGAAAACATAGGTGGAAGGAGAAGGAAGAGGGCTTGTGATTCAGTAGGTTATGCTCTTCTTAGTGAGTCACAAGTGAACCATCAAATCTTGAACTTTATGCTGCTGGTGGTGGACTCCGCTGCACCCTTTCCTCTCTTTCAATCTTGCCATCACACAACATCCCTACCCTTTATCTATTTATTTTCCATTTAGATGACTTCGGCACACAGTGGTGGGGTTTAATGGAGCAGCATTGCTGCCGCCACCACTTCCACAGCCTTTCTGTGTGCGCTGGCCAAAGCGGAAGGATAGGGAGAAGGGGGGGAAAGATATCTTACCTACTCTAGCTCTCAGCCTGCTACAATGAAGAGGCCCGGATTGGGCCCTTTGCTGGCATGTGGTGGCAGATCCTGCACTGTCCCAGCTTCATCTCTTCCCCATCTCCAAAACGACCTGTTCAGAGGGTTTCCACAGGGCACCACTGGTGGGGATATCACCAATGGTAGCTGCTGCGATCGGGCAATTGGATCACTCTTTTTTTGTTTATATCCACCAAGGTGAAAGTGTTATTGTGCTCATGTCATGTGAGGGCTTCTGATAGGCATCTGGTTGGCTACTGTGAGAACAAACAGGACCAGCAGCTAGAGGCAAAACACTCTAACAAAGCATCCAAATCTACTCTTGTCAGTTTTCTGGTGCCAACTGAAGACTGTTCTCTTTTTCTGGGCCTTTATTAACTTCTTGAGCATTTGGGAGAGAGATGACAGATGGATGTGTTAATGATATTTTATTGCCATATTGGCTTTTACATTGTGATCTGCCCCAATATCACTTGTGATGAGGGGTGGAATATAAATTCTATAAATAAATGCATAAACAACAGGACTGTTCTTCATGGCTTGTGTGGAGTTCAGCATAAAAGTCTACTGTGACTTCACTTTGGCCCTCCACAAAGCAAACCAGCCACAGGCCACTAGGTCAGGTGGTTGCAAAGTACTTGCAGATCTTTAAATGTCAATGCACTTGGAGCTATGAAGTCTGCCCACGTTGAGCAGCTTCAAGGCTAAGCTCAACAATAGCACTGAATTTTTGAACACACACAAATGAACACCCTCAGTTTGGAAAGTTACAAGTTGAGCACCAAACTCCAACCTAAGGTTTGTCCCTAGCTTTTTCTCCTTCTGGTTTCCTATTCCCCTTTTCAAACCTTCCTGTGGCAGCAGATGGGAAGCTAGCGCCAAGAAAGACTGAAAATAGGGCCCACCTTTAACTTGGCATGTTTCCAGCACCTCAAAATGGAGTGTTCTGAGCATACTTGACTCAAATACCTTTGTTGAGTAAACCAGAACACAGGAATCAATGCTTTCTAATTCTTCCTGCCTCAACCTATTCATCTAAGAGGAATTAACTATAGGTCCCAGGATGTGTCACAGTAATAGAGCTCTTGGAGTCTGTTTTGTCACCAGGATATTGCAAATGTAAGAACACTCCCCACACACTGCTTCCCCAGCTCCCCCTGCTGCTTGTTTCTGTTTTAAAATGTTACGTATGGGGAAAGTGGGTGGCAGGAAAGGCAGAAGAGAGGGTGCAGAGCTACCCTCGGCTGATCCTTCTGAGTTCCCAAAGATCTAGTGAGACAAGCTTGAGGGTTTTTTTAATAAGAAGTATTCTTTGGAATAACTCAGATGGTCTAAGTCTGTTCTGAATCAAGGTTGCAGTGGGGGGGTTGCCTGCCTTTAGCTGAATATTCTTGCCTCCTAGTACCTACTGATTTATGGTTACTTGGCAATGAGTGGCTTCAACCCCACCTGCCCCTAGTTGTGGCAGTTGTCCACTGGAATGCAAGCAGAAAGTGAAGCTCCTAATCCCAGTGTACTTTATTGTCTTTCCTCCATTTTAGGCACTGGGTAAAAACGCTTCCTCTTCACCCAGACCTTAGTTTGAATGGTTTTTAATATAGCTCAGTAGGTAGAGCATGAGACTCTTAGTTTCAGTGTTGTAGGTTTGAGCCCCAAGTTGGGCAAAGGATTCCTATGTTGTGTGGGGGGGTTTGAACTAGATGATCCTCATGCTCTCTTCTAACTCTACAATTCTAAGTATTTGTGGCCTCTTTTAGTGGGGCAGGATCTGCTGGACTTATCTTTTATTTGTATAGAAGTGCTTCTTTGTTTTAAGTATTTATTGATCGTGTTTATTGCAATTGGTTTTAGTGTTTCTATTGTAAGTTGCTTTGAGTCAGTTTTATGAGTAAAGTGACTTAATGATAATAATAATTAATATCAATCTTTGGATTTGCATTAACTATTGCCGTGATGCCTGGTTTCCAGAACAGAGTGCAGCCTGAATTGGTCTGCTCATTCTTTCCAGGAGTTTGTGGGAACGCTTTCTGGCTGCGCAGGAATATTGGGCCTGTGGAACACTGAATGCCTGGGAACACCACAGTGTACTTGAGGAATGCCCAAGCAGTTGTCCTGAAGCAGTTGCTTAGGAGCTGAAGTCACAGAAGTGGGGAATTCTTGCTTCTCACCGTGAGAAAACAAAAAGACACAGGAGGCCTGACAGTGCAGAAATGCTATGGTGGCCGGAGCCTGCCAATGCCATTCCATCAGTTTCACTGCACTGCTATCTCAGTCAGGCAGCAGGAGGGTCATGTGTGTTTGTGTTCCATAGCTCTGTTTATGCCCAGATGTACATAAAATGAGCATTTAGACCCCTGTAGAAGTGCACTTTCTTCACGCACACAATCTCCTACTATAAAGTGAAAGGAAACCCAGTCTACCTGTTTACTGCCAAATCTAGCTGTGTCTAGCACTGAATGACTTGCTCCCTGTGATACCATGAAGCCACTTCCATCCAGTGGTGGCTGGTGCCCATTGAAACTGATAGGAAAGCAGGCAAAGAGGCCAACACCACTCAGATAACAGATATGTATTCTTCTCTAGTTTCTAGAGGTTGTATATACCTACACCTAGTTGCTGAACAAGCAGACATTTTGATTCAGAGATAAAGGCATCATATCTACAAAGTTATCAGTCTGATTCACACATGAAGGCATAACCAACATCTAATGAACTACAGATAGTTGTACAGATAGAGTTTATTGAGGAACATATGTTTTTGGAATAACGTAAGGTGATATGAAAATTCTGGTTGGTACTGTTTGATCTGCAACAAGGGTAGTAAACATTGTGCCCTCCAGATGTTGTTGCACTCCAACACCCATCAGCCCCAGCCGGAATGTTGGAAGTTGTAGCCCTTCTGGGGAGCACTGCATTGACTAGCCCTGATCTACCATGTCCCATTTACAAACACATCACCCCTTGATGCTGCGGTCAACCTGTGTGGAAAATTCATATATGAACCAGTATCGTCAATGTGGAGAATGCTAGAGAACAACGTTTGTCACTGGATTTTTTTTTAAAAAAACTATTTATTTGGTTTTTCAAATTACAGTTTTACATTACAATCACATATCCAACATACAACATAAAGATAAGATTCCATAGAATCTCCTGGACTTCCCTCCCCCCTTTGTGGGTCCTATTGTTAATCATTTCCTCCTGCATCTTTTATAATAATCCTAATCTTTTACATCTCCATTATATCCAAAAGTCACCATTAAACTACAAGTGTTATTCCAATCCTACTAACAATTTTAACTGTTTACAATGGTTTTTAAGATAAATTATAAATTTTCCCCATTTTTTATTAAAAATTTGGTCTTCCTGATTTTTGATTCTTCTGGTCATTTTTGCCATTTGTCACTGGAATTAGTTTTGCATCAGTTTTACTTTTTAGCACTGGAAAATACAGCTGGAAAGTGGGTCCTCCAGTATATTGGGCTGGGGGAAGAAAAGGGTTTGTATAATGCTTGTTAAAACAAATGAAATGTTTGGTTTTTTAAAAAATCTAGTACAGGGGTCAGCAACCTTTTTCAGCCGTGGGCCGGTCCACCGTCCCTCAGACCATGTGGTGGGCCGGACTATATTTTGAAAAAAATAATGAACAAATTCCTACGCCCCACAAATAACCCAGAGATGCATTTTAAATAAAAGGACATATTCTACTCATGTAAAAACACACTGATTCCCAGACCGTTCGCAGGCCTAATTGAGAAGACGATTGGGCCGCATCTGGCCCCCGGGCCTTAGGTTGCCTACCCCTGATCTAGAACCTTGGTTTGGAGCTCTTTCCCTGAATGAAGTCCCACATTCTGTCTTTATTTTTACCAAAAATACTCAAGAAGATCACAGGTAATTTCAGATTTCATTTTCTGGAAGCTGACAGCCAAAGAGATGAGGATACAACTTACACCATGTTTCCTGGGAATTATTCCCAAAGAACTCAATAGGACATCTGAGGACATTTGGTGTCTACATTTGTGCAGACATGCGAAGGATTGGGCTGTTAGGTGCTAGGGCCCAGATGCAGCTCACTCCCTGCACGTCCTAGAATACACACCCTTGGATGTTCAGGATGTTCATGAAACGTTATTGCAAGAATCTATTCAACCCAGCAGGGGAGATGAGTGGGTACAGAAATATTTTAAATGCTTCCCTTGGCGGCTTCTTTATAGGTGAAACCATAAGAGGGGGAAGGGGTGAGGGGAAGCAGAGGAAGATGGAAGAAAGAATGGGAAGGGGAAGCAACAAAGCAGATTTTTTGAAAACACGTTTTTGAGCTGCCTATGTTCACACACACACACACACACACACACACACAACTCTCAGCTGAAAAAAGTCTTCTAAATTGGTGGTCTTTGCCAAGAATATACATCTGGACTATGGTGATAAAAGGCTTTCCCTCTATGGAACAAATCACTTATCAGACTGATACAAAGTAAAGGAAACATTTTGGTGCAAACAAATATCAGTTGTATAATAGCTGCAATAAAAAAAACTGTTAGTTTCTGAGGAACTGTACTTGGAAAGCCCTGTTCAAAACTAGAGTTACCCTTTACTTCAATGCTAATGTGACTTTTAACCTTTTATGTACAACTCTGCTTATTGTTTATATTTTTAGAAACCCCATAGGTATTTGTGTTATTGGTGTTTCTTGAGATTGGTATTTTCCTCTCAAATGTTTTTAGCAACTGTTTTTACCCACCAACCATTTCCCCTTCTAATTCCTTCTTTCATTGTCATTTCTTAGACATAATTTTAATTGTCTTTCCATTTAAAAGTTATTTGGGACCAATTTTTACCATCTTTTCCAGTGAATAACAATGAAAGCTTGGGTTTTCTTTCCACACAGAGTATAAATTTTTGATGTTCTTGTTGGGAAGAGAGGTTTGGAAGGGAGATTTTTACTCTCCAGTAGCTGAGTTAAGCACAATGGTGATTGCTCTGAGGACATTTGCCCTCATTTGTCTTTAAACAAGTGAAAATACTTAGGCTAGAATAAATCACAGACACTTAACTTTGCAAAGAAGTGTATGCTTTACTCAGAGAGTTACCAGAAGCTACAGCAAGCAAGTCTCTATATACTGGCAGTAAAGTGAAGATGAAAAAAGGTCCCAAACAACTTAAAAAGAAAAGTACTTGGTTTCCTTACAAAAACAATCACACAATCTTCAGGTTAGCAAAGATGCAGGCTTTAAAACCCCCCTCCTGGAGAGATTCAGTTCACTTGCAGCATGTGCTGAGTTGGGAGCCAAGCTGCATGGCTCCTTTGTCAAGGAAAGCAGGAAGCAGGAAGAGAAAAAGAGAAGCCACTGCAAACCTGCCAAGCCACACCCACTCTAGTAATTTGAGTTCAGGGCTCAGGTTAACTTTTTCATGCACACAAGTGTGAGATGGTAACTGTATATTTTTATATTTTTATTTATTAAATTTGTATACTGCCCTATATCCGCAGGTCTCAGGGTGGTTCCCAAGATAACAACAGTACCCGAAGACACATGGAGAGAAGACAATATGTTATACACTAAACCAGCCTTCTCCACCCTGGTGCCCGACACATGTTTTGGACTTCAACCCCCATCAGCCCCAGTCAGCATGATCCAATGGTCATGGAAGATGGAAGTTGGAATCCAACAACACCTAGAGGGCCACAGGTTCCCCATTCCTGGCTTGAACACGTTTTTTTCAGAGGTGATGGACAGGAAAATAGGGAAGGCAGACCTACTACACTAGATGGTTTTTAAAGCACTGATGTTCTTAGTTGCCCTGTTATAAGTGTGCCAGAGATGTATAGAAGGCATGTTTGAAAATCCTAGGTATACTTAGTTAGAATCAGGTCACACATCTCACTAACCAACCAACCCCCCCGCCCCATTTATTAACAAAGGTTTGTGATGTCCTGGCTCCCCCGCAACATATACAGGCAGAGAATAGCACTTGGAAGGAAGGAAGAGATCTTTATTCAGGCAAGTAACGGCACAGGCTCCGCAGCAGATGCAGTGCTCAGCAGTCATGATTCAGGAGCAGGGCAAGAAATTCAGAACTGAACAGAAGTGACAAAGATGTCCCAACAGGTTTCTCCGCCATTCCACCAAGCTTTTATAGATGAGGCACTACTTGTAAGGCTCTCTTGCCTTGTGAGAATACCTGGAATATAAGCACAGGCTCTGTCAAGGCATATAGGTCTGTTCCCATTTGCAAAGGCATTACAGTGGAACTTCGGGTTACGTACGTCCTCCTTACAAACGCTTCCGGTAATGAGCTCTGCTAACCCGGAAGTAGGTGCTCCTGGTAGCAAACTTTGCCCTGGGATGCGAGTGGAAGTCGTGGGCCAGTGGCGTGGCGGCGGCAGCGGGAGGCCGCCTTAGTGAAGGCGTGCCTCAGGTTAAGAACAGTTTCAGGTTAAGAACGGACCTCCGGAATGAATTAAGTTTGTAACCAGAGGTACCACTGTATCTGCTCCTAGGTGACAACACTGCAACCTAAGGCCTCTGTTCAATCGCTGCCACTTCAGCTGATTAAAGTCCTGCCAAGCCTCCACTGAGGCTTCCTGTTCTACAGGAAGGTCAGAGGGGACAGTCAGCATTCCTGTTCCCCTTTGCAAAGTGACTGAAGTTGGGGTGGAAATGGGAGTTTCCACACCCCCCTTCAACCCTGGTTCCCACAACTCTGCCCCTTTCTTCTGTTTCTTCCTGTTCTGTTGGAGCCTGGTCCCAACAGCACTGCAGGGCACATGACAGAGGGCAGGAATGCCGGCTGGAGTCTTCCATGTCTTTCAAAATGCACTTCCTCCCTTTTTTCCCTTTGACCTGCCATTACAGGTGCTGACTACTTGTATACAAAGCAGAACACTCTTAATCTCACGCTATTAGATGCACACTCATTAACGTGTTATAAAAGAAATACTTGAGGAATGACTGGATTGTTGTGTAAGCTAGTACAAGTGTATACAAGGGAAGGTTTTTGCTACAGATATAAAAGGTGGGCCTCCAGGCTGCTTGGCTGTGCCACAAGATCTGGGCACTCAGATACTCTGGATATCTTCCAATCTACTTGCCAAGTTTGAGGCACATTGGGGAAATCTTGTGACTGAGTTCAATTCTTACGTTAAGATTTCTTTAAACCTGATACTACACACCTTTCTTTCCCCCATTTCCGGGTTGCCATAGAACATGTTGGATGCTCCTATTGTGTAACAAGAATTGCAACTATAATTTGCACTGCCATACTTATATCCAAGTATTATGTAAAGTCTTGCGGCTTATCCACAATTCTTCTTGAAGGACTTACATACCCCAACCTGTATAATGAGAGACCACAGAGACTGGTTTGGAGTCAAAACAGGCCACAACTTTATTGAATACAGATGAAAGAGGCTTGAATTGGGCATGGGGCAATCTAAATACTTCCAGCCCGCCCGTTGGAAGTGACGCGTGGTCAATCCAGGCAGAGGTTCCTAAGACTTACATCCATTAGGGTGACCCCTACAGGGACCACTGTCTGGGGGAGTGCTTTGGCCCTGGCCCTGGCCCAGGCCACTCCCCCCAGATCCCTTTAACAAAATACCCCAGCATTTGGAGGGGCAGGCAGATACAACCTCCCTTCCATCCAAAACAAAGGATTGCCCCAATGCCCAACCACCCACCGAGCAAATGCTCACCACCAAACCACTCACACCTGCATCCATGCCCTATTGCCTTCAATCGTATCTCTCAATAGAAGCCCTATTATGGCAGAGTCCAGGAACAAAGTCAATGCTGTTGTGGCTGTCCTTGGCGTCTTCTGCTCTCCCCTCCCCTTGCGCATACCTGCCAATGCTCCAGCCCCAAATAAACTCCCTGCCACAGAGTAAGTCAGCTTTCCCTCCTGCTACAACTGGGTGGCCGTCAACTGCTGTATCTCCATTTCTGTTTCCATCTGCCATAATAGTAGAATAATAATGGCTAGCTGTTTGCACGGATTACTCTGACAGTGTGCATGAAGCACATGTACATGTGTAAATATTAAGTAGTATTAGTTTCTTCCTCTTTAAATTGGCAGGTGACCCGACATGGGGGCGTATGTCCGCCTTTCCCTGTGGCATGTTGCCATATGGCACCATTCCTTTGCTGGAGCCATCTGGATTTGATTGAGTACACATGTTCTCGCCTCTCCCCCCCCTTTTTTTACTGGCATCGAGCCTCTTGATTGGTTGTGCACTCTGCTTGTGGAATAATCCACAATAATCCAAGGATGTGGGATAAAGTAATTGGTGGATGTGGGCTAATAAGTCTGGGTGCAAAGGACTCTGCCTTAGTGCAGAGAATTGGACTGGATGTCCTAGTACTAGAATTCTGTGGTTTCATACAAATATAGCTTGTTTTCTTTAAACCGCAAAAGAAGTCAGCCTTATTCCCTTTGGGGTTGTCTTTAAAGTCTGTGGCCAGCAGAGGTCAGAGCTGCACCATTGAAAAGAGAATGTATTGCCTTTTAGAGAAGGCGCACCCTGAAGGGAGCACACCTAGCTCCTTCCAAAATCGGAAGTCTCCATAGAGTGTGCGTTACTTTGTCACAGTCAGAATAACTTTTTCATGGATTGAATAAAACAGGTTCCACTTAGGAGGCTGACGTTCGCAATCTCTGCCGTCAAAACCGAGATGGTGCTTTTAAAACTGCATTTCAAATAAGATGTTTTTCAATGCTTTGCATAAATTCAAACTTTTCCATTAGTGAAAGCTTGAAGAGTGTTATCAGCAAGGTTACAAAATGTGTTTACTTACAGATCTGGAAAAAGCAGCAGTGTTGAGGCATCAAATTTGTCATCTGCTCATGACTAGCAGATGGTCCTCCTCCTTTACAAGTGAGCTCCATGACTCACATGCCGTTTGCAAATCCAAGCTTGTATTCAACTGCAAAGGAGAGGTGGAGATCCATGCTGCCAGCCCGTTTGATGCATTTGGTGTTTACTGATAATTTTTTCCTTATATTTTCTGAAAGGTTGTATGTTACATTTATCCTCTGCTTTCTTTCTGGGAAGCTCAGGAAAATCCATGTGGTTCCTGCAGCTCTGCCATCCAGGCAGCAACCAGCTTCAGCAACGATGCTCTGCTTGTAGATGCCTCCAGAGACTGTGCACTTTCCAGTTTGAGAGATACTGACTCCATCAAATAGCTTATTATTTTCAATCCAAGGATTGTCTCCCATTCCAGAACATCTCCACTCCATGAAATGTAGCATATATGCTTATTTCTATTTGTGCTCTACATAACAAATATCAAAGCATTTGAAGAAAGAAGAACACTTGGAATGTGGTAAGGGCCAATAGATAAGCATGATTTGTTATAATTTGGGAAATATAAGCAGATGTAGACATCTGGTATAGAATAGATAGGATAGAAGTTGTTAAGTTAAAGTGAGATATTCATTCAATTTTTTTAAATGAAAAAGATTCCAATTTCATAAAGGCCAGCTCATTTTTGAACCTGCTCATGAGCATTCAAAATACTTGCAACATCCCTATGCTCAAGAGAGAATGGAGAGCACACTTAATAAACAATCATCTGGAAATAACTGTAAAATTAGAACAGAAGCCAAATGCAACAGTTTGAGATTAATAATTTCTGGATTAATATAAAAAGCCTTGGTAAAGTTCAGTTCCAATAGGCTAGAAGCCTACAGTTTTCTTTGTGTTTCATTGGCTTGTTACACGGAAATATTTTAAACCTTCATAGTTTGTAACTGTTATAAAATGTGTATTTTTAATTCAGTTCCTAGCGTAGTTCTATCAGGGGTAAAATCACTATATCAATATACTCCCCAGCAGCAGTGTTCAGGATTGCAGCTGTTACGTGTGGCTATTGCGGGTGCCGTGCATTACTGATTACAGTACCTCAAGCAGTGACGGTGGTATTACATTAAATACAACAATAGTTGTTATTTGGGTGTCAAGAACCACCACTTTCTGAAGCTGTTATCTGGTAGCCTCACCAGCAGAATCACACATAATCACTATTACAGATTTATTTAATCACAAGGGAGTGCTTGGCAAGGTACAGAGCCATATTCAATATTTTATTTTCATTCCTTATTACAGTAACACAGCCTTTACCTGAGCAAGCTACTGGACAATCTGATCAAGGGGGGCAGCCCTATTTTAACTATGTCTCACTGATTAATTCATTCAAGTTACTGCTCCCAGTTTCAGAACGACTTTTGAGCAATTGTACTCAGGATTCAGCTGTGCTCTCTTAATGTGATTTGGCACCCAAGCTCCATGCATTTATCTCAGTGTTACCCTGTGACATTGTGATAGCATCTATTCAGTACCCAGGGAACATTTTTGACTTGGGATGTCGAGCTTGTGTACATGTTGGTATGCGCCACCAGTCTAAGCACTTAACAGCTGGTTCCAGAAATCTTAATATCCAAACACATTGCCTCTGGTGGAATGTTATAAAGGGTGGCATTAAACTAAGTTTTATTCACAGCTGACCCCCTGAATTCAGTGGATCTAACTTAATCATGTTCATTGATTTCAATGGGTCTATGCTGAGTAAAGCATAGTTGAATAACTCTCAAAGAAAACTGCAGTGGGTTGAGGCAAGACTGAGCTATTGCACTTAGTCCCAATAGAAATTAATGGGTCTTACTTTTCAGATTGATTTCAATGGGGCCTTAGTTTAACTTGGTGAGACTGGATCCAGCCCAATATTATTATTAGCAGAACTGTTGTTTTAAGCCCTCCTCCTTTTTGTGCCTGAGGCTTTATTAGGATAATTTAAAAATAGAAATCTTCAAAATAAACAACCCCCTATAAACCCTACTCGGTTCCAAATTCCTCCTGGATACATAACAACATCAAAGGCAATGCCAATCACACTTTGCCAAAAATGAAAATGTCTAAAGCGGTATCATATCTTTTCGAATTCTTATGAGAGGCATTGTTTTTTACATTTGCACAGAACAAATTTGCTCTGTAAACATTTGTTTCTGTTGCCTGGTCATGTTAAGTTTGATATCACTGCATGATGCTTTTATTTGCCATGCTTCAGTACCACCGTGGAGGCTGCAGAAGAAAGATGGTTTTCTAGCTATGGAAGGTGAACCCAAGATAACTTCTTTGCTCTTCTATAAACTACCCTGGATATATGATCATCTTTTCTGTATAGGATCTTGTTAGTGACGCGAACCAAACCTCATAGATTACTCCAAGATGTGTGAATTCAGTTAGCTTCAGACACACAATTTAGTTCACTTTTAGCATAACTAAAAACACTGTGAACATTTGAAAGTAGGCTATCCCCTGCATCTAATATTATATTAATTTTACTTTAACCTGTTGGGCCTATTAGGGTCCAGGAACCACCTGGCCTTTCCCTGGCCCAACAATTGTCTTTCCCTGTTGAGTAAGGATAAGTTTTTGTGAAAATAAAAAATTACATTTTTAATGCAGTCTTCACCAATGTTTGCTCTTTTTCAGCTATTTTGTTGTGTTATTTAGGGATTTCTGTATATTCTAATAAAAACTAACCTGATACACAACTTCCTAATAGGCAGAACAAAGTATAATCATCCTTTGGATTTTGCGGTCATCCACATATTGTGATATAGTTCTTGACTTTAAAATATAGCAAAATACACGAAAAATATGTGCTTTAGGCTAAAATACATTTAGAAACGTGACATTTGAGATAAATATATTTTAATCATGCATAATTCTTTTTTAAAAAACAAGTCTTTAAAGATGCATTTAAATACAAATTTTTATGCAGATTTTTTTAATATAAAAAAGCAGATTAATGTGGACAGGGGAGAGACACATGTGAAATTTGCATGAACCAGAAAGAGCATGATCTATCCATCTCTGGTAGAGGATACTAGATGCTAATGGAGTTATTGCTTTGTTTATGCCCATTTGAAAGGCGAGTTAGGAAAAGGGACCTGTTGACAAAAAGTCACACAAAGTTGTTTCAATTTTTTTGTATATGGAATGCGGCTACACAGACTCTCATCCAGTTGCATAGTGATAGGATGATATAAATGCAAAAAAAGGGAAGGAAATAAAATACAGTTTTATTCATTTATACATATCTTTTAAAACCACCCTTCATCCCAAGCAGAGCCTAAGGCACAAAAGAGCAGGTAACAAATACAATTACAAAACACAGATATCGTTCAGAAAACAGAAAGCCATATATGTTACATTTATAATGAAGGAAGCGTTCCAAACATACTAATATGTTTGGAGCTCCCTTTAGCACTTTTGAAAAGTGAAATATTTGTTCCAAAGCACCTCAGAAGCTGTCTGATTTGACTCAAGCGCCAAATCCAAATCACAGTTCTTCCCCCATTCACTATTATTGGGATATTTAAAAATACAAAGTAGTTTTTCTTTTTGGAAGAATTTGATGAAAGGTGCAGACATAGTACCCTCTCAAAAGTGGAAGACTGCCAAATTACAAATAGTTTTAGGGGTTTTGTGTGTGTCTCTGTGTCTATGTCTATGTGCTGGGCACCTTTAAAAAAAATCCTCCAAAATGAAAACACAATCTGTAACTTTTTTTAAATGTTAGAATTGGATGTAATATGCAGCAACGATAGCACTTTCTGATTGGATGAATCCTGCCAATTTACAGAAAGATAACTTCAAGGATTTTGGAGCTAGGCAACCTTTAAGATTTATTTGGGGGATTTGTCTCTCTCCCTTTGGTCTTCTAGGCAACAATTTTATTATGAAAATAGCATGCAGTTGCCCCTAGGAGATTAATCTGAAAAAAAGTATCTGTTTCCACATTTTAGCATTTTTCATATATGACAAGCTTGTGGAGAAATGTTTCAATTTTTGCACTTCCTGCATTTTATTTAAAGTCCAAATCTCCAAAATGCCCCAAAGAAGTTAGAAGGTCCCTGCTGTGGTTTGGGGTACCAACAAAAGTCAATTTTTCCTCAATATGAAAAAATTCACTTTCCACAAAGAAAATAAAATCCAAGAAAACAAACCAAAGCAGAAAACAAACCAAAGCAGCTGTGAACATGTGGTGTAAAAAAATGTGTTGTAATATAAAACTGAACTGCGTCCATGGCAGTCAGCTGCAATGCAATACAAAGGAGCAAATCTCATTGGCATTATGACTTAAGCTACGGTATATGTTGCTAAAATGCCCTCCAAATGTTGACCAGACTCTGGCGCCCATCACCAGCAACATCTGGAAGGCTACAGTTTCCCTACTTCAGCAAATAATAGATCTGAAAACAGATCTAAGTGAAAGCTGTGAGAGATAAGAAGCTGTACACTGAGTGCTACCAAAGATGATTCTGTATCGTATAATAGTTTTGATGGTGAAACCAGGGTTCAGTTCCCTTCAGATGTTATTTCCACTGCTAACAACTGCCAGGCAGGATAAGTCTATCAGCAGCTAAAGACTACAGTGACTATGATCTACCTGCACCATCAGAGCCAGTATGCCTTTGAATACCAGTTGCCAGGAATGGTTTGCAGGATTCCCACGGGCATTTGGTTGACAACTGTGAGAACAGGTTGCTGGACTAAATGGGCCATTGGCCTGATCCAGCAAGTTCTTCTTGTGTTTTTATGCTCTAGTGTTTGAGCATGTAAATGTTTCTTTAATAATTAGCAAGAGGAAAA